TGTACCAGAGTATCATGAACATACCGTTTCAGGTGTGAAGGACATAGAAAAGAGGGAAGAATACTTCCTTCTGTGCTGAAAACCATTTATTTCATTTAGGTTTTTGAAAAATAAAAAAAAAAATCATAAGACTTTCTGAAAGGAGTAGGTTATGTTAAGGGAGACTTAACAAACATACCTTAGCATATTTTATTTATGTTGTATGAATGTGTGTAAGTATGTGTGTGCCTGGGTACACATGTTGATGTCACAGGACAAGTTGTAGCAGTGGGGTCCCTCCATCCATCATGTGGTTCTCGGGGTTTAACTCAGATCTCCAGGCTTGGTGAGAAGTTCCTCTACTCACTGAGCCATCTTCCCAGCCTGGGAAGATTTATCACAAAGGAAACATCTTAATCTTTATCATTGTACCAGCACCAGATAAGGGAGAACATGAGGGAAGGAGAGAGGGAAGGTGAAGACACACACACACACACACACACACACACACACACACGGGGGAGGGGGAGAGACGTGTAGGAAACAAATACGGTCGAAAGGGTAGGAGGACGGAAACCAAAGCAGATTCGGCTCTGATCTGGAAAACAATTTATGCCCTGTATTTCTAATAAAACAAAACCTCAGAGAGCAACCTCGAGCCACAAAGTGTATGGATCTAGAATTAGGTTCACTTTTGAGTCTATTCACAAAGCACAGCACAGCTGAAGGTTTTGTAATATACAGGGACCAGAAGCATCCCTTGTTGTAGCTAAATACTTCCTTTCATTTACAGAAGTCTCCTGGTGTATTTGTTGTTCTTATAAAGTTTATTGAAAGTGAGCAGAAGACATAAAAAAGGGAAGCTTTTATTTCTCTGGGCTCCCTAAGCATTTCAACTGTGTTATTTGCACAGTGGTGTGTGTCTCTTCAACCCTATTGTTAGTTTACGTGACTGTCTAATTTGGATGTTTCTCAGAGGTACTTGGGTGTCTGTGTGGGTTCTCTGCACCCGAGCCTCCATTGCAATTGCCTGGCTGCCATTTCATGGAGACAGAAGTTTCTAAGAGAAGTCAGTTTGGCCAGTTGCAGTTTCGTGGGTTGCAAAGACAAAAGTATGCCTGTCGCATTAGAAATGCTCAGGAATTTGTAAGATTTTAGACTTTTCTAAAACTACTCCCAAAGCTCAATTCATAGCAAACATAGTGTAAGATAGAAAATAAAAAGAAGTCAATTTTTTGTAGATTTGTTTCTGATTATAGATGTCTAGGATGTTTGTGATAGTCTGAATGTAATTCCCACCCCCACCACCCATAATCACATAGGGAGGGGCACTATTGGGGGGTGTGGCCTTGTTGGAGGAAGTGTGTCACTGTAGGGGTGGGCTTTGAGGTTTATATACCGGGTGCGTCAGTTAACTTCCTGTTGCCTGTGAGACATAGAACACTTGTCCATTTCTCTGGCACCATGGCTATCTGCATGCCACCATGTTCCCTGACAGGAAGGACTGAATCTCTGAACTGTAAGGGAGCCCCCTCAATTAAATGTTTCCTTTATAAGAGTTGCCGTGGTGACGGCGTCTCTTCACAGCAATAGAGACCCCCAACTAAGGGAATATTCCTAAAAGTCTGCTGAAACACTGGGGCATACAGTACTTTTCTGTCGCTGTGATAAAAGGCCAGGGCCAAAAGCAACCTAAAGAATAATGGGTTTGCTTTGTCTTATGGTTCCAGCGGGACAGAATTCCTTATTGTGGGGGGAAGCATGGCATACTGGCAGAGCAGAAGCTGACTGACCATGCTTTCATACATCAATACAAAGCAGAGAGTGATCAAAAGTGGGGTGAGGCTATAACATCTCAAAGTCAACTGCAACACTCACACAAAAAAATTAAAAACCCAGAGAGCAGATTGGGGGTTCAAGCTTCAAGCTGGAAATCAGAGAAGCAAAGCAGCCAAGCCAGTAGATCTCACCTTTACCCAGCTGAAATGGCAGCCCTGCCTCCACAAATCCTCATGGGCAAAAGCTCTCAGTCCCTGTTTCCTCCTCCCTTGTATTCCTTTCTCCACCCAGCCACATCACCCCAGTCCCCACCTCCCTAGTGCTGGGATTAAAGGTATGTGATCCTAAGTGCTGGCATCAAACGTGTGAGCTCTGTTACTCTTCCAGGGCAGCCTGGAACTCCGAAAGACCCTTCTGCCTGTCTCCTGAGCCCTCAGATTAAAGGTGTGTGTGGCCACTGCCTCGCCTCTATAGTTTGTGGCTGGTCTTGCTCTCTGAATCCCCAGACAAACTTTAATGAATTATAAATAATATATCACCACAGTCCACCCCTAAAAGATACATTCCCTACAGCAGGGCTCCACTTCCTAAAGGCTTTATAACATCCCCCAAACAGCGCCACCACCTGGGCAACACATATTTAAATTGTGAACCTATGGGGCACATTTTTTTCTTCAAACCACCACAATTAGCAAGAGTGATAAACCGGGATTAAATTAAATCTCCAAGTACACAGTGGGAGGTGGTGGCATTTTTTGAGCAAGACAGGGGGAAGCTTAACTGTGACAAGGTCCGGCTCTGCAAACATATGTGGCTGTTTGAAGACTTAACAATAACATACAACAGTGGCCTAAAGTACACCAAGAGCTTTCTATATGGCAGTAAGTGCTTCTCTGTCATTTAAGCTATGTGATCCTCTAAGCAACATCAATAATCAAATGTCCCCACCCATCTGGTAAAGAATGCTGTCCAGGAACAGTGATGGTAAGTCTCTCACCGAGGGCAAGAACTAGCTATGCACAAAACCCAGACTTGAGATCTAGATCATGGGGCCTGCAGCCTGTGCTCTGTGCACGGAGCCTCCTCCAGCCACAGCAGCCCCTGACTGCACAACCCTCTCCCATGAACCAGGAACATAAATGTTTCCCTCGTGGCCTCTCAGAAAGTCTAACAGCTGGGCGTTTGGTGCCCAACTTAACCTGGAGAAAATGAAGTCACAGCCAAGTTCAGGATTACAACCTGTGCTTTTATATTGTGTTTCCAACATCTCTTCCCCCAGGTTTGCTGAAGTGTGGACTCATAAAGTGCCTCATAGAATGAGTGGAAAGACCCACTACCAACATTTAGTGATCACAGTTTGAGAAGTTGAGTTGGCATTTGAGGACTTTGCTCAGGGCCGGTGCTCAGCACCTCTCATTGAATAAGTGTAGCATGAATAATAAAAACCCAGTGACAGATGGTGGAGTTAAAGATGAAAATCAGGGAAGCCAAGCTGAGAACCACTAGAGAGTTCTCACCTCTACCAATGCTCAGACTGAAGGGGCCATGGAACCTCGGGCTGTTCCCATCAGCTCCCATCTCCTCCTGCCTTGTATTCATCTCTAGTACTGGGATTGAAAGCATGGGATGCCAAGTGCTGACGTAACCTTTACTTGAACTGTTTGTCTTTTTTAGATTGATCCACTCTCATGTAGGCCAGGGTTGCCTTGAACTCACAGAGAACTGTCTGCCTCTGGCTTCTAAGGGCTGGGATTAAAGGTGTGTGCCACCACTGCTGGCCTCTATGGCTAATTAGTGTGGCTAGCTTTGTGCTCTTGTCTTCAGGCAAGCTTTATTTGTTAGCTCATAAACAAAATTTCACTACAAATAAGTTACTGGCAAAGCAAGCCAAGAAAGTTTTCATTATTCTGACCTCTCTTACTAGTCATCCTGTATTATAGAATATAAACTTTATTGTTCTATTTTGAGACAGCATCTCACCTCTGAAACCAGACTAGGCTAGCCTGGAATTAAACATGTAGTCTAGGCTGGCCTCAAACTCACAGTCTGTCTTAGCCTCTGGAGCACTAGGATTAGCAGGAATGAACCACAGTGCTCACCTTTAAAGTCACACTTTAGCACAACCATAACCAAATATTAATTTAGAAAACGCTACGTAGCCGGAGTCCACTGTCTCAGATGCGATTGCATAACTTTTCCATTTTTGTCCTCATACTTCGGAAAGGTCTAGCTAAGTCACGTTGGCCAGATTTCCAGCTCGACTATGTTTTTATTAAAACAGCAAAATCTGTGTCAGCACAGGACGCTATTCTGTCCTGAAGTGACCCTGAAGTACCTCTCAGCTTCCTCGGTTGTAACTCGGAGCAACTTTATTTGAAGCTGGACTGTCACATTTGAAGCATACTTCACTCTCTTTTACCCATTGCCGTGTCCCCATCTAGATGACTGTAAAACACATTTGTGTAAAATCCTCCTCATTGATCTGACTGCTGAGGCCTTGTCGGGTAAAGATACCGCCATCACTCCCCCTACCTGCTTCTCTTAGAGACCCTAAGACTTCATCTCAGGATTAGCAAGTCCCAAATAACAGTCTGGGAAACTTGACCTAATTTTCCATCCCTGGGACCACAGGGGGCAGTAGTATGTGTGTGAAGACACAGTCTGCTTAGTCCTCCTGTGCTCAGTGCTTTTACTGAGTCATGTGTGGAATGGATTATGGCTATCTTTAAAAAGAAAAACAAAACAGCAACCCAAAAGCCCTCCCCCATTTGCTAAGCACATGTCAGGGGATTGGTTACATCTGTTGTTGTTTCATAAGTTATCTTCTGAAAGAATTTGTTATTATAATATAACTTTTATCCAGACTCTCATTCTATGGCTTTTAAGGCACTGTAATGTCGAACTTAAGTTCTGTTTTATCGTCTCAAAATGCATTAGTAAATACACTTCCAGCACTGACTTTGCACAGCTCTAACTTATACGGTTGATTAGAGCCAATCTCCTTTCAGCAGAAAAGTCTGTCCAAATGTGACTGAGAATTAAACACTTGAGACCGTATAGCTGGCTTTAGTAGCACTCCGTCGTAGCCCAGTTATTCAAAGTCCTCAATTACTAAGTTTTCCCACTGATCCACAATGACCCACAGAGGACTAGGAAAATAATCCAGTGGAAATGCATTGTGGTAATTGCCCTAAACACCGGGTCCTCTCCTCGTAACTGCTATTGTTCTTGTTTATTTATAGGGACCGAGCCCCTTTCATTTTTACTTCAGAGATGGAGTACTTTATTACCGAGGGTGGAAAAAATACTCAACATTTTCAAGACTTCGTGGAGCTTTGCTGCAGGGCTTATAACATTGTCAGGAAACGCAGCCAGCTGATTCTGAGCCTTCTAGAAATGGTAAGTCCCTTGGGGAAATAACAAGTCCTGAGCTCCATTCCTGTCTCCTCCAGTGATCTATTTCTCCTAATGGGTTGGAGTTCCCCCAACAAGCTTTTAAAACAGAAAGGAGTGAGCAAGAGAGTGTGCCTCTTGACAATTTAATGTTAGTTCATCGTTGCCATCTCTGGCATTACCATCGTAGCGTTAGTGTTACATTGGAAGGAATGCTATATAGGGTTGACTAAGGTTCCAGGAAAATCATTTTTTAAATAATAATGTCTTTGGTTACATTGTCCCCTTTTTGAAAACTGCCTCAAAATTATTCGGTTTAGATACAATGTCAACCTAAGGATGTAGATGAGGCTGACTTATTCTGGTTCCCTTGTCTCGGTGTGTATCTTCTTTTGAACACTTGGCCACTGTTCAGATTAAGAAATGAAGGCTCAAGAATGCAAACTCTGGGCTTGGAGAGATGTCTCAGCAGTTTAAAAGCACAAACGTCTAAACTTCTCTTACATAGGACCTGGGTTCAGTTCCAAGTACACTCACCAGGTGGCTCACAACTGCTGATAACTCCAGCTCCAGGAATCTGGTACCCTGTCCTGCGGTCTACAGGCACCTGCATGCAAACAGGCACATAACCACATACAGACACACTGAGTGCCTTAACCAAATGCAGAAGTCCAGAACAAACCCCCCTCCCCCAAGCAGAGTCTCATGGAGCTGCTTCTCCAGTGACATTAAATTACGATGGATGACAATTAAATGTGATGAGCAGATATGACAGTAGATCTTATCAATGAGTAGGAATCATCTTGCTGAGAATTTTTAATTTGTTCAATAAGCTTTCTGCATTCCTTTAAAAATATTTATCATGATAATTAACCATTAAAGAATTTAAACATTAGGCCAGGCATGATGGCTTGTGCCAGTAAATTCCAGCAGTCAGGAGGACGAGGCAGGAAAATTACAGCTTCAAGGTTATCTTGTCTCCAATGACAACAACAAAATGTTGTAATATATTTAATGTATGGGAAATAAAGGGGCCCGAGAGATTGCTCAGTAGTTAAGAGTGCTTGCAGAGGACCCAAGTTCAGTTCCCAGCACCCACATCCAGGAAGTCATAATGACCTATAAATCCAGTTCTGAGAAATCTGATGCCCTTTTCTGACCTCTCTGAGTACCCGCCCACAACCCCCGCCCCTCACACACACGCACATTACATTTTAAAATTCGATATATAATGTTTTAATCCTGTTTTGAAATGATTTCTCACATAAATAGTAAGACCCACCTGCCTGAGATTTAATTGAATCTAGCTTGACTTTTAGAAGGACAGCAGTGGAGGTCACTCACATGTACTAAATAATAATCTTAGATTTAGGCTCTTAGAGAAATGGAATATCGTGACTGGAGGAATGCAGAACACTAAACCCCATAGACAAATCCTTAACAACTGTGATGTGCGGTTGCCTCGGTTTCTGGTCTCCCAGTTCCCCTGCTTTACTCCAGTGTGTAATGTGTGGGACTCTTCGGATAAAGTCTTCAGTGGCTATTTCAGGACCACACACTCTCTAGCCAAAGCCTCTTTTAAAATTAAACCCAAGCTTAAATCTGTGAAAACTTGCTTTCTACATACACATTTAATATTGCCTTTTTCTCCTTGCTGACTCTCATGTCGACATCTTTAAACACAGCCCAGTGCACTACACCATGACCCAGTTACAAGTTGAGAAATACTTGGTCATCCAGGCTGGGCTCTGCAAATGATCAATAGCTAGCATCACGCGGCGCAGGCGTTCAGTGGGTTCGATGTGGAGTTAATGACCCATCCTCAGCAGAAAGCATCTTGTTGCCAGATATCTGCAGAGCTTTTGTTTCCTCATGGGAAAAGCAAGCGAAAAGTAATCTATGTAATTCCCATCTTGCTTAAAAGGAACATCTGTAGGAGACCCAAGTGTGCTGCTGGCTGAGTTCACTATCATAAAAGCCTGTATTTCGTCAGCTTTTCTCCCATTTAAAAAATCAATATCAACTATTATGGAAGAGTCAAAGAACACAGGGACCAATTTGCCCAGTTTCAAATGTTTATCACTCCCATTATTATATCAGATATCTCTTGGCTGAAATCGTTCTAGATTCCCTATACCGTAAGCATAGAGCACAGCTTCCCTAAGTGATGCTATCAAAATAGAGCTGGCCTTACTAGAAGAATAGAAATAAAAGTCCTGTCCTTAAAAGCAAATGACTCATCCATCCAGCGTTTGAGTCTGTTCATACCTACCTGTCTTCTCCCGTCCCCACTGCCCCAGCCAAAAATGTCACCCATGCCCTCCAGACAAAACCTGTGGAACACATTGCAGTTAAGGAGGACCAGCTATGGAGCCCTCCATATTCTCAGGTATTACCACACTCCAAGGAGTGGGACACAGGAAAAGGTGGACTTGCAACTTTTTAACCATTAGTCAGTCACATGCTGGAGAGTTAGATTCATCTGCTTTGCCATAGACTGAACGTGTCAGCCTCTATAGAAAGATGATAGATTAGACAGAGGTGGAGAGACACAGGCAGGCAGGCATACAGATGATAGACAGAGGAGTGAGTAAGTTTTATTGCGGTAAATAAGGGTCAGGATAAACAAATAGGCCGAATAGATGTTTATTCAGGGAGAAATAACTTACAACCTAGACAGATGAACACCAGGAAATTCAACCCGATCCTCTCCTGTCCGAGTCACGCCAGAAAGAGAGCGCCTTCCTCGCCCCCTCCGACCTCCTTCCTCAGGTCACCTCCGCCCATAGCTCCACCCCCCAATGGGCGTGGTCAGTGCTACAGAAGGACTACCTCACTACAATTCCCCTTTTAGTCTAAAGAAAAGATTTAGGCTTAATACAAAACTATATACAAAACAGTGAATAACAAGTGTGCTCTAAGAAAAGGAAAATCGAGAACAAAATGACCTACATATCTATTCCTAGGGTGAGGGCATAATGGAGTTTACAATAGAGTTGTCCTAAGCTGGAAAACGTAAGTCTAGTACCTAATATATCTAACTAGGAAGAGAGATAATAGTTGTGATAGTTTAATCTTCAACCTCATCAAGACCTGAGAAGGAAAATAACAATACTAGAGTAGACAGGAAATGCGGATGGACAACTTCCAAAACGGTGCAGCAAGGACAGAAACAGCAAGCCACCTGAACAGTCACCCTAGGTCTCACAGCGACGTTGGTACACCCAGATTTGGCTAAGGCCAAGAGAACTTGACAGACCACAACAACAGCAGGGAAATAGAATGGCTGTCTTACCCTGACTTGGCAAGGTCAAGCAGTCTTCTATATTTGTCTCCCTGCAAGCACATAGGACTGCATGTCCAAATCAGTGGTCAAGGTGGGGGCTATTCTATGCCCAACAGGCCATTAGCTGAGGCGAGATTGAACTCCAGCAGGAGCAACAACAGTGTCCAACATATTTTCGGGAAAATGCACGGTGCTGTCAGGAGCAACAGTGTCTCATGTCAATGGAGTACTAATATTAAAACATTTAAATGCCATGTTCTGCATGTCTATGAAGGATTGAAGATTAAGCATCTATATCTGACTAATCTCATAGGTACAGGAAATGTGAGTGAAGATAATCTGTAATACTCGGGAACTTAGCTAAAAAGACTGATTAAAACTTTCCTGAGTAAAGCAGGAACAAATACTTAAACAATATAACTATTTACATATACCTACATGTAAATCCCTAAAATAGAGGTAGAGTATAAGTGTCAAGACAAGAGGTAGAACTATAAAGGGCAGTAAGATAAATATCCCAAATTGTATCAATATACAAAATGTCTTGAACACAAGAAAAGTATACATACATAGAATATGGTAAAAAATAATGTGCATAAATATTATAAGTGGAAACATTTAACACAATATAACAAAATATAAACTTAATTTTACATAGCTTACCACATAGGAATGCATAACAATGTAAGCTGTAAAATACTATCTCATTCAAACTCAAATTCTCAAGGAAATAGGCTAATCTACTTATATCCCATCTAAACCATACCTTTACCCACCATTCCCTATTCCTGTCTAAAAGATAAACCGGAGTGTAAGCATCACCCAATCCCAAATAACTAAAACCAACCCAAAGACGATGACTATTATCCCAAATTTCCAAGGGTAGGGAAAGGGGGCGTAGTCATATTAAGATTACTTCCTGCTGAAATGGGACGATGATTGCTCCAATGGATCCTGTAGGAAGAAAATTTTTAGCAACCAAATTTCTCAACAGAACTGGCTGTGACATATGTAGTTAGTCACTGTGTGGCAGAAAATTCTTGACTGTAGTTCTATTTGAAACTGGCCAGGGTGTAATAAAAAGGTGCACCATTACAGCTAGCTAGTCATGAGTTGTCTCTTGAGCAAAACAGTCTCAAACCGGTTTTAGGGTGATGTTTGTAGTTCCGATGCATCAGGTTGAGTCAAGTGGAAATGATGATGTGGGGCCCCATCTTCTTTCCGGAAAGTTCAAAGACTGCTGTTAGGAATCGTTATTATTCCTTGTGGAAAAGTTACACATCAATATTAAAGTAAAATTTTCAAGTTTTAAGGTATGCATTAGGGAAAGACAACAATAAGCATTAAAAGTATGTGAGAAAATTAGGATTTCAGAGAGAAAATTGCATAAGATATGAGTCCCCAGATTTTGTTTCTTCTGCCTTACACCAATTGGCTTCTTGATTTAAGGCAGAAACCATGAATTTAATCTTAACAACATGCTTGAATTTAGAGAAGGAAAGCCAAATCCAACTCCAAAGCCAGCATTGGTTTACAAAATTTGGGACTTCAGGAATACTAGATAATAGAGAGAAATAGATTTCTATATAGAAATAGTTTACTACAATTAAATTTTTTTTTTTTTTCTACCATATATCAGATTCTGCTTCCTTAAGTGATTGTTTCTGAAGAGCTGTCTTCTCTTCTGTAGGCACCTACATGTTCAGTGTCTTTTGGCTGT